AATTTACAAGCTCCCGTTTGCTCCCGAACGCAGACAAGAATTAAAAACGTAAGGGTCTGCAACGCCGTCTGGAGGCCGACTAACCTCACTTTCCCGGCACGGCGCGGTACAACGTGCGCTGTGATTGGCTGCTCGTTTAGAACATGTTTGCTGATTGGTCGTAGAGAATCAGACAAAGAGCGCGGGATTATAAAAGTCGGCTTTAGCTACAATTTTTCAATATTTGGTTTTGAAACAATTTTTTGGGAGAAAATTGATAAGTACTATACTAGGAATAAAGGAAAACGATTGTGTATGGGAGGAAAACACTCAAAATAATTGATAGCAGTTTTTTGGTGTTTCCGACCACTGTGCGCGACTAAAGGTAAAATGGGAAACGCGGTGGCTTGAGAGACATCGGCAGGGCTGGCGGCTGGTTTGGCGGACCAGCAGACGACGGGGACGGATGGATCTAAACATCACGAGACAGCGTGTTAATTGTTAATGGAAAAAATTCTGACCGTCAGGGCAACAAGTCTACTAACCGCGTCGTCAAAGCGACGGGCGTGCGCGACGGTCAGTGGGGACGATGTCAGCCACCAGCACCTGGCATGTTGAGCAGATCATGTACCGCGCGAGAGTTATCAAGCCACCCGGGCGACCTTACAAGATTTGCCGGCAGATGGCATCGTGTGTGGAATCGCTGGAGATATCTCTCACGCGGTACATGATCTGCTCAACATGCCAGGTGCTGGTGGCTGACGTCGTCCCTATTGACCGTCGTGCACGCCCGTCGCTTTGACGACGCGCTTAGTAGACTTGTTGCCCTGACGGTCAGAATTTTTTCAATTAACACGCTGTCTCGTGATGTTTAGATCCATCCGTCCCCGTCGTCTGCTGGTCCGGCAAACCAGCCGCCAGCCCTGCCGATGTCTCTCAAGCCACCGCGTTTCCCATTTTACCTTTAGTCGCGTTAGTGACCGTCTTCATTTCGTGTTCTTTTCGTGTTCGCTGCGCGTTCTTGTGGCGTCCAACTCGCGTCGACCACACGAAAAGAACACGGAAAGAAACGGATAGTAGTCGAAAAGTGAACGCGTTGCGTATACAAGAAAACCCCAGACTCAGTCGACTTGAACACAGCCTGTACGCTGCTTTGAACGCGGCGCACAGGCTCGGGCCGGCGCAACTATTCGTCTACTTTCCGCGTCAGATTGACTTCCTTACCGTGCCCGTTTCGGCTTCATCGGGTATACTAACTGCCAACTTTAGGTGTGTGAGCAGGGTCTGTACGCGCCTCGTTTACGTGCACTTGAGAAACGTGAAAAACACGAAAAATTGATGTAGATTTTTACCCGGGTAGCCCAGAAATCCTGGTCAAAATAAGGCCCCATCACGGAATTCAATTGTAGAAAGATGAATTTTGGTACAATAAAGTGGCATGCCCTGATAAACCTTAATTTTACTCCCCAACTGGGAAAGGTGTGCAACCCGAGTTATTAAACAACAAGCAGGCCCGCCCTTCCGCCAAACGGCTTCGCTGCGCCGGCAACTCCGTTCGGCAGGGGCCGTGCCTGCTTGGCCTGCTGGCGGCGACGCTCGGGCCTGCGGCCCGACCGAGAGGTGTGGAACTAGACACAATATGTGTACATCGGGAAAAACAATCAGAAACAATCATGAAACAATCAGACAGAATCTCAAACCTTCACACACAATCAGTGTGGATACAGAGTTCACGAAACGCAAGCGTGATTTTCACGCAAGGCGTGATTTTTCACGCAAGGAGTGATTTTTCACGCTTCGGATCACGGCCTTGGCACTGCGAGGTCGGTCAAGAATTGGAACTAGATGTCGTCCAGGTCGAGCAGTGCGCCCACATACGCAGAACCACGCACACACGCACGCACCTCCTTTTCCATGGACCCCTATCCCTTCTCCCGAGACAGGCATAACCTGCACCCTGCCGAGGTAGGCAGGCAACCCTATTTTTCGAGGCGCAAAGTTGGGTTGCCTACCTGCCAGGCGCTCGCCTCGGGGCGAGCCGAGGTGACAGGACGCAGGCGTCCTTGCCCACTGGCTGTCAAGGAAGGCTCCTTTTGCTCCTTTAGCATCCACAGTATTGTGTTATTATTACACCCCTAAGTATATAAGACTGTGTACAGTCTTGCCTGAACCATGTGTCTTTTGTTTCATGCTTCGCAGAGCAAGAGTTTGATTTGGATTCACTGTTTGAGCTGAACGACGGGAGCCTCTCAAAATATGTTCCCAAGGATGGGCCTCGACTCAAATTATTGGGGAAAATTCGTGCACTAAAGGAGTCTCTTCAGGTAGGTTTGGTTGTAAGCTTTGTCTTCCGGGTGTCCCGGCTCTTACATGCCAGTACGTTGGGTTGCCTACACTTTTACCTTCCTACAAAGAAACTGGTATTGTAACATACAAAGAAAAGGGATTTCTTGTAAGTTACAAGGCAGTACCCGGAAGTACCTCGTATTACAAAGAACTATCCTCGTATAATAGAAATCTACAGCCTTGTATCAGAACGGTGCCTGAAAATATTGTACTTACAACGTTTTCCTATATGACACAATAAATTTCATTTTTGTATAGTACTTATATTATTTTTTAGTTTAATACTTAAAAAGGCACTTAACTGTGTATAATACTAAAATAAAGCCTGCAGGCTGCACTGGATCGACATTTTACCCCCATGTTTACGCCATTAACGGATCTGAATCCGGATTAGCCGGACCTGAACCGTGCCAGCCGGACGTCAATGGCGTCCTGCACCAGGGTCAGAGTTCCGACAGGCACAGTACGTGCTGTAGGCTTACGCGAGGACTCGACCAGCCGACGGCCCATGTCCGCGACGATATCGGTCCTTCGGTGAAGGGAGGCCGAAGCGTCAGCGATAGCGAAAGGAGAGGGACGACGACGAAAGATCTGTAGAACAGACCCCGTCGACGTCCTACCAAGAGGGGGAGGGGGTAGAGCCACCGCATCTGCCGCCGCCGCCGAGGACGACGACGACGACCATATCGGTCCTCGAGAGCGGACTGATGCTCCGTCACTGCTCCTGCCCCTCTTCCCGAGGACGCCGCCGATGGCTGTGGGCAAAAGACGTCGTCGCCCCCCCCCCCCCCCCTTCCTCCCTCTGCACAACAAGGCGTATTGATGCGGTCCCGGTGCTGAGCCACCTGAGGCCAAGTGTAAGGCTGGACACGGGAATGAATGCCCTCCCCTCTCCCCCTACAAGTGCCACTCTGGTCCAGGACGCCGCCGATGTCCCGGTCATGGTGCCCGCGCAGTGGGTCGCCGTGGTCCTCGAGCGCAGTACAGAAGCCACGATCTAGACGGACAAGCACGTGCGCGACCTGGTCCAATCGGCGGTGTCAGGGTTGTAGGGGTTGTGCTGCTCGTGAGGAGGATAGGGCTATCGAGTGCTGTCGAGCCGAAGCACCGCCTCGGCAAGGAGGAGTGGTTCATAAGACGCGGACCGTCTCAGCCACCCGATATTGAGACTGCTGCGGAGGGAAGGCCAAAACGCGCCAAGCTTCCCACTCGCCCCGCAAGAGCATGCCACCTGTGCTCCCCTCTCCCCGCAACCATCGCAACCAACCGCCGGCCGTGCCCGCACCGCCCGCACCCCTCGCCTCCGTGAAAACAGAAACAGAAAACAAAAGCAGTCGTCTCGTCATGGCGTCGCCAGCTAGCGTTTACCATTCGACTTGAAATACATTTTCGGTGTGGAGCACTTCGATGGCAGTTGGAGCTGTTGGGATAATCATCTCCCATAAGTTTTTCTTCATTATCCGTGGAATATTGCATCGTCTTTCAGTAGCCAACGGTTTTGGGCAGCTGTTACCATATCAGCCGTTGAGGTTAGGGAGGTACTTCTCCCATGAAAACTAACATCACTTAGAGCCTCTTGTACTGTTGCACAAGTAAGTTTTTACCAACAGGATAAGGTAACTGGTGTATATATAGACTGCTACCTCTTGGAAAACTGCACTTATCATTTAAATTGTGTCTGGCCTTTGCGCACCTCAGACCCACATAGACTTTTAAGATCCTAGATTTTCACTCCACCCTATTCTGCAATACAAAAACCTATGACTGAAGCAATTTGTGAGATGTCATATGGAGTTCCACTAGAGCAAATAGTTATACGTTCAATATTAACAGTTAATCGCTGCTCGCTCACATCCAAATAATAAATTACTATATAATATAAGCCGTGCCATAATAAATTCTTTTTATATTACAAAAGATTTATTTAAAACACTTTTACTATGTAGCATACAAAGGAAATGTCTTACGAAGAAATCGCTTAATATTTTACAAAGTGGCTCCTTCGTATTTGTTGCGCAAAATGTTTGGTATGTTACCAGTCTCAACCATTGTAATACTACAAACATTTTTCTTTGTAGGAAGTTAAGAGTGTATTGCACTGGCAGCAGGGGCTGCAGGCGCGGGGCGGGTGGCGGAGGGGTGGGGGGAGCTGCCACTCCTCCGTCACCCGCCCCGCGCCTGCAGCCCCTGCTGCCAGTGCAGTATAGGCAACCCAACGTACTGCCATGTAAGAGCCGGGACACCCGGTACTCTGTACTCACTCTCTTAGACTTGTCAGTAACATTTTTATTTCTGTTTTAGGCGCCATCCCTTCAAGTTCTCGTTGTGGAAAGTGAGGCTGCATTCACAGCTGACCACAGTGTAGTTAATGATACGCCACCTTCTCCACTTATTGCTCCGGGCTGCTCGTCGTCACCAGAACTTGCTGAGATCCCAGAACCACCAGCCAAGAGTCGTTACGAAGATTTAGTGTTAAAAGAAACTCTAGTTGCAAGTGCCTTGGAAGCTCTGGTTAGTACTATTAAGTATACTTTTATTTGTTGAGAAGACCACTTTGAAGTGTAATGCCGAATACTGCATGTTGATTCTCAGCTGAGTGCACTGCAGTGCATCTCTCTCAAACTGTTGATTTGTTGTCTTTTTCAAATATTTTTTTCTCGTTTGTTGGACTCTAGCCAGTGCGCATCGTTGTGTGTCGGATACTTAGTGTTTGCTGCCTTCTACTGTGATCATGTGTGTGCATCTGTGTTCTGCCCGAAAGGTGTGTGTTAAGTGGTGTGAAAAGGAAGGTTGGTGTGTGATTTATATCAAGTGGTTTGGCTAACCGCGTTTTATCACAGGGCTGTTTGTACGGGACCCAGAGTCTCGCCATGAGTTGCTAGGCGCCCCCCTTCTTCGCCCTGCGGCCATGAGGGCACAACTTCCGGAAGACCACCACCACCACCGCCTCCACACCATGGGGTCCTTTTCCTACACCCCGTGGACTTTGCCACCCACTGTGACCGACTTTTGAGAGTGACGTCAGCCATTTTCGTCACCATGTGAAGATGTGTGTGTGACGGCCGGGGGAGGCGCCCCCTGCGCCGTATCTGTTGTGTGTTTTCGTCGCCAAAAATGTTGTTTGGCGGCGCAACTATGGTGAGTTATTGTCGTCACCACTGTAAAGAAATCCATGGGCCCTTGGTATCTGTATATATATAATTTTAGTGTTGAGCTCAACAAAGGTTTATTCTATTTATTAAATTAGTTGTACAGTATTATTTGTACTTTTAGTGTGTGAGCGGTTGTTTAAGTTTTCCGCTATATTATTTAACTCTAGTTTGCTAAATACCGGCCGGTTCTCAAATCTCCTTTTTTATGGTACCGTACACTGTGTAACATTGTTATATGTTTGTGTTACCGAGAGTTTTTATATCCTCTGGGTTTTTTTCGACGATTCTGTCGTATTCTTCTTTGGAGCCATGAGTGCTCGCTTTACATGCCCCCCCCCCCTATTGATGGGTTAATTCGGGCTAATAACAGTTGTATTACTGTTCTTATTTTGCCATGGCACTATTTAAGTTTGAGTAAATTTGCATACTCGATTTTGAGTTTCTTGCTGCAGCTGCTTTAATTACTCTGGTCCCCGTTTATGGGTTAGGCCCTTTCATTTCCTCCACATACGTTTTGTCCGGAACACTGTTTATGTGTATGTTCCTGTGTGGGGATATTTTTACCATGTGCCATGATATCACTGTGCCCTCTTAGGTTTCGTACCGTTCTGATCTGTGATCTGTCAGTGTTGAGATGAGATTTGTTGCACTGTTATGGTTTTGTGTCACACTGTTGCTATTGTGTTTATGTTGCACTGTTGTGTTCTTGGGTTACAATTGGTATGCAGTGATGATGCATTGTTGTGTTGTTTGGAACGTTTGGTGCTGTGTTACGTGAAGAGTTACACTGTTTGTTTGATTGTGTTATACCTTTAAAATGTAGTGTTGTGCTGTCGTGTTTCATGTAGCAGTTCTAATCTCTGGCATCAAGTTATGTTTGTCTGTGATGAAATAATCCTTTTGTTTGTTCCTTTTGAGAAAATACATTTAAATGTCAGTTCTGAGAATGTTTATTATGTCTATATATTTTAATCTATTATCGTGGGTTCGCGCCCCACTGTATTGTGTTAATCTATGCAATATATATTTATAACTGCTACTTTTGCCCAAATAGTTTATCAATAAACTTGTTATATTATAACTTTACTTAAATTTTACCCATTCAAAACAAATCTATTGGTTATCAACGGCGGCGGGTTTTTCAATAATCTTATTTATTGCTTTACAATCTAACTTATATGCTCCTTCAATTCTCTTGCATTTACCCGCCTGGCGCCCTTAAATAAAGCCGTTTTTAACTTTTAGATTTGCCACACTCCTTGCCTTTGTACAAGCACTATCTTTTCAATTCACCTACACTTGTAATGCGGCCAGGACAACCCGGCGTCCGAGAAGAGCACCTTTGTGAACCACCTGCGCATCCGTCCACCCTGAGCTAGCCCGTGACAATACTTTGTTGTTGTTTTTCTAGCTTAACACTTGATCAGCTGAAAGTGGTCGCTGAAAATCTTGCCAAGTTGTTGCCAGGTGAGCAACCCTGTATATATTACTTAGGAACAGACTCCACGAGGAGACTGGTGACGGGCAAGCTTGTGGACAAGTACAGCAACTTGAAGTCGAAACTAAAGGATCCTAACAATAAGAGACAAAGATCATCTGCATCCACCAGTTCTGCTGCTGATGTACCTGGAACTGTTACGAGTTTTTAATCAACTTTGTTTCAATTCCTTTTCAAAAGTAGGATTAATTGCTTTCTTTTTTAAAGTTCTGTTACGAATTCTTATTGTGACTTTTTACTCATTTATCCTACTCTAGCATACACACTTGAAGAAAGGCAACAGAGTCTGGCTTGGCTAAGGTTTAATCGGACACCCTGGCCTGAAGTTCAACGACACTGGGAAGTGGTTCACCAGGATCGTTTGAAACTCCTACATCGACGTCCAGTTTCTAAGAAAGACAACAAAATTGCCAAGTCTCGTGCCAAGTATTACGAAGAGTTTCCAGTCCTGTCTGATAAAGCAGGCTGGCAGTTGGAATGTTTTTTGTTGTATTATCTTTCATGACGAATTTATGTAGTGTAAATCAATTCATATTCTTACAACTGTATTTTTATAATTATAGTTAATAGCAGATTTTGAGAAAATCTCCCCTGATAAAACAGGTCGACTGTTTGCCACATGGCCTGGTATTCAGCAGTCCTCGTTGTCAACTGCAATTGAATGTGTCTAAGACCGTTTTTCAAATAGTGTAGAATAGTGCGAATTTCTCAGTTTCAAAATTCTTCACGTGCTACTGAAAGTAAGTTTATCATATTTAAAAAAAATAAAAAAAATTCAACACTTATTTTACATTCTACTGAAACTTTTTTTTTTAGGTGCAGAGATACTTCTTCACCTCATGCTCTTACCACCCACATTCAAAACAAACACACTAGTGTTCAATATCCAGTTGATCCATCAAAGCCAAATGGCCCAAAGAAAACCTGGAAGCCAACTTTGGCAGAATCTAGAGATGGGTTGATACTGCATGTTAAGGTAATCATTTCTGCGCTTCAAATCCTGTGTCCAATAACACATTTGTATTTATCTGCATTTGTATATTTTCTAAATTTGTATTTTGTTCGCTGTTTTTCTGCAGGATGCCAATGATGTAAAACACCAATTGGAAGAAAGGCAAAAAAATGCAGGTGATTTGATTGAAGTGCCAGCACCTTGTTGTTATCTGTGGACCATCACTCCTCCAGTTTACACACTGCCAAGTTTCCATGAACGCAACCCTTTACTATTGCCTGGTCCTCTGCAAGCTGTTGACTTGGCTTTCAAGTCCTTCCAAGTTCTGAATGTGTGGTACATAAGGAAATCCATCGTAAACCCGGCTTTACTAAGCGATCAGTCTTCCCTTCATAAACTTACTTACGAATCCAAAAATTATTTATATTATGAATGAGACGTATTACAAATAAGAGGATTCGTAATACGAACAAATCGTGGTCATACCGTGACAGCACAGAATTCTTCATAACATGAACATGAGACTTGTAATACGAACAGTGGCGTTCATATTATGAACACTATTTGTTCGTTAGACTTTCAGAGTGTGTATCTTCCGGTAGACAAATTTTTATTTTGTGCAACTGTAGATACAAAATTGACACTACTGAAACTTAATAATATTATGTTGCAAGATGCGCTCATAGTGGCATCTAGTAATACACTGTGAAAAAATCATCTGATACTACTGGACTGGCAACGGACGGACATTCCGCTATAGCATACTTTAGAATAGAGATATGGAAGAACCGTTTGAGTTCGACCATGTAACTGAATTTAGGGTACGGACGTGTCCGGAAAATAATTGCCGCTTATATCCGTTAAATACGTGATACGGTTGCTCGCTCCGCACCCCAAAAATTAGGTACGGAACAACCCGCAACAACCGTTTTGCTTCGACCGTACAATTAAGTTTAGGGTACGGACGAACGAGTCCGGAAAATAATTGCCATAGTCGTCCGTTGATTTTCCGTTTGTTTTCTTCACAGTGTGGATATAAATAGTGCATTCCCTGGAAAAACTAACGTGACATTTAGTCGTTTTAGTAAACCTCCCCAGGTTTGCGGTTTAAACTCCAAATCTTCCAGGCTGCACACTTACTGAAATATGTACTTTTCCGTACATGTCGTGTGGAGTGATTCGTACGAACGGATTTGTGCACAAAGGCCAGCCAAACTGTGTACATATTAATGCAAATTGTTCATTTTTTGTCTAGAGATGTGCGAAATGTTCGGAATCGAATCGAATCGAATCAGCTCTGATTCGATTCGATTCGCTCTCGGGAAATTTGCTGAAAACCCAAACCATTCGAAAATTTCGAATCGAGGGTGTTCGCCTTCGAATCATTTGCCCCTTTTATCGACTCCCCGTTTAAATGGCGCGCTCGTTACCTAAACCTACAAGCAAATTCTGTAATCATTTCCTTGTGATTTTAGAGAATTCTTTTAAAAAATATGGATTTCTTCCACTTATATTTTTGTTGCATTGCAGTTAAGCCACACACTTCCCATTTAGATTTTCTAATAACGTGAAAATTTCTTGAAATTTTCAGCAAAAGTTCGGATTCGATTCGAAAAACTGGGTGAAAAATTCGATTCGATTCGATCCGAGAAAAAAGATGCGGATTCGATTCGATTCGGGGATTTTTTTCAATGATTCGATTCGAGGGGGTAAACCCTGATTAGCACATCTCTATTTTTGTCATACATTTTATCAGCTTTGGTGTCAGGTTGACACCTAGAGACTCTGCTAGAGCATTAGACTCAGCACCAAAACGGGTTTTGACCACACCTGAAAAACGTTAGATAGTACTTTTCATTCAAATTTACCCAAACTTTAAGGTGTATGGCCCGAATTTCTTTCTCCGTGAGCAGTATAAATTGTTCTGATATACAGGGTGGTCCACAGACCCCTTCCTTTAGTTTGCTTATACTGTACCGGATGTAGGCGTGCGGCCGGGTTGCATACTCACACGGGGCCCTCATGCGATACGGCGAGGTACGGTAAGCAAGCCCGCCCGCGCGCCTGAATGCGGCACAGTATAAGCAAAATAAAGGCAGGGGCCTGTGGGCCCTGCCCTGTATGCACACTACACTGTTTAAAAGAGTCAGAATTTCACGAAGATTTGCCGTGAAAAACGTTTCCTGTGGTGTATTTGCGAGGAAGAAATCACTTGCGCACAGTGTACCGTAAAACACGCACATACAGAATCTTTGTAAATGTGCTTCTTCCTCCTATATTTAGACAACACGAGCATTTGATGTAAAAGATTAAAAAATTATTTATTTAATGTAGAAAAGAATGGATACACGTTTACGTGTAAGCACTTCGGCAAAAATATGAACTATGCATATACAAAATTATTATTAACCATTACGAGTGAAATTTAAAATGAACTTAGGGTGACCTCTAATGATAGGGTTAAAGTAAGTATCACATATTTAGAGTAAAACAGTTCTTAATAAGTTACCGAACCGGGCTTCCTGCAGGTTCACCATGTGATGTGCTGTTTAGACATCATGACTGGAGTCAGACTTATATCGCCCCGTGCACTTTGACGATACTTTTTCTTATAGCTAACTACCAAGTCGGTGCAATCATCCATGGCTTGGGCCGGAATCTTCGCGTCGACCGTCACCTTCATGAGTCGCTTCGTCAACACAGCCCTGAGTGCGACATCGCCCACTGCGACCAACGACACTTCCTGAAGCTCCTCCTGCTCCAGCAGTACCTGGCTGATCTTCTCGTCGCAGGTGCTGCTGAACGACCTGCAGCACTCGACGGACAGGCAGCGGAGACGCGGCGCGGCGCGGCTCAGGGCGACCAAGACTTTGCCACAGTCGGTGCCCGTGTACCGATACACAGACAACTGCAGGTCCCGCAGAGCCGCCAGGTCAGCGCCAGCTAGGTCTCTCTCCACTGCCATAAAGTCGTTCTTTGGGTTCGACGAGCGGATGTGCAAGCTGAGCTCGCGAAGCGCACGCGGCCCGTGCAACGCGTCCACGCCTTTCGCGTTCATCGACAGAGTTGCGAGCGCCTCGCACTGGGCCAGGGCGCGCACCGGGCGTTCTGACGTCAGCCGCATCCTCTCCGGCAGCTGCAGGTGCCTCAGGGACGACGAGCAGGCCGTGAGCAGGTCCGCGAGCAGGGCTTCGTTTGGCTGGTCGCGAAGTTCGCGGCTGGAATTCATGGTCCATCGCAGCGTCCGGAGCACGGGGGCGACGGCGTCCTGCAGCTGCGTGGTGTAGGAGATATTGCCCACCTAAGTGAGGGAAGAACAGGTCGATTAGAGACGAGTGGGAGGGGGGGGGGGGGGGTGAACATGAGGTTAGCGTTTCTCCCCTTTTTGTTTTATTTTCATGCTTATAGAAGATGATACATTTTAAGGGGGGCAATATGAGTTCACTTTAAATCAGTGTGATTCTGACTGCACGTTCTCTGTGATACAAAAATATTGCACGATGTTGTGATAGTCATCGCAAAAAAAGTACAACATTAAATTTCTTGCTTATATTTGTGATGACCATCACTTATTTGAGCAGTACTTCGAGGTATCATGGTTTTGTATGTGTATCACTCTTTTGCGATAAATTCTGAACCATCTCATTATTTTGCAATAAGTATCAAACCAAAGTTGTAATAAAAATTCATCACCCCCCCAGGAGTGATAAATCACGGGAATTACACAGGATATTTTATCATACGGAGTGTGAAAAGTATCACACTTCAGATTGCAGTGTTGAGAGGGCCTAAGATGACCCAAATTTTGTCTGTGCCTGAGCCTTTGTTGGTTTGTTGGGGGTCAATAGGGGCATATCCTAGTGGAAAGTATTTCTTTTTAAAAGAGTTTAAGCAGAGGGGTTATCACTTTCACCCCTCGATTTCCCCAGGGAGCATTTGGCCTGCAACAATAAATAGAAAACGCATTCCGGTACACAGTGCGCACACTTTTTTTTCCTGCTCCATTGCTAAAATTGCAAGTTTCTTTCTTTTGACACTTGGAGGCACGATGTGAACTCCAATCATGCTACTTGAACCAGTAATTCTAATTTTTGCATTTTCATAGGGACATTCCATTTATTTTATTTTCATTTTCAACAGTGTTACATTTTTAAAAGTAGTGTCTAGGTTTGGTCTTACATGGCTTGTTCTAGTTCACATCGTTCCCCCAAGTGTTCACTGAAAATCACTTTATGTAACATAATACAAAGCTATTTGTTATGTTCGTGTGCGTCTGCAACATCGGTTATACAATTTTTTTCACGTAACAGTTTTATAGAAATTACTTGCAGTAACAGGTGTTACACAAATACTTTGTATAACAAAATTATTTTTGTTGATTGTAACTATAGAGCCATGCGTCCCGAGCATAATTGGCAGTGTAACAGCGGTTACACTTTTTAGTTTATGCAACATTTGTTACGTATACCACTTTGTGTAACAACGGTAACGTAAACTTGTGAATGTAACAACTGTTATACACGCACACGTACGTGTTGATACATAGAGTAACTTTCAGTGTTACAAGAGAGAAACTTATGCATGAGCTTGAATATTCTGGTCTGCAGAGGGTGAGCCTTAATTTTGTTCACCATCTTGACTACGATGGCAAGGACTGCTTGGAACGAGGAATCTTCGGCAAACCCAAATGCGAGACGTGTAGTGTCGAATCAACGAAATGGTTCTCTGGGTGCGTGAAGAACGTTGCAAAGAACTAAAGATTTCAGAGGGGAGTTGGATGGGTAGGAGTTTCAAATTGCTTTGCCCGAAAACTTACAACATATTCAGGAGGGTCTTTAAAGAACAATTGTGCAACATTTCAACTTTCTAGCTTTAGCAAAGTTTTGCTAAAAATCGACCGTTTGCCGACTGCTCGGCCAGGCTGTTGGGCCAGGCCCATAGCGCCCTGTCTGCCTCCGCCAACCATACGCGGGAGTGAGCTGGGCTGCCTACCCAGCACGGCGGCACGCCGCCCCGCAGAAGGCCACAGAAGAGACATTCACGGTAGAAACAATGTCCGTTTTTAGTCCGCTCTTCTGCTTTGTAAAAGGTATATAAGCGTGCCATCGCCCCTGTGTCTGTCCGTCTGTCCATCCGTCCGTTTCCCAAGAAGGACGTGAGCTAGAGTGCTAGAAGTCTGAAATTTTCAAGGTATCATTGTTGTTACTTCTGGACAACGAAACGGTTGGTGCAAATCCTGACAACCACCCCTGAGTGGGTTTGACGCGGTAGGAAGGAGTAAGGAAAGGTGGGGTACATTGGGACGGATTTTTTCTTTTTGCTGTAGGTCGGAGAGAGATCTGTAGAGAGACCTCCCCGAAATGTGTCACCTGTCCCAATGTTCCCGGGCACGGGGCACATTGGGACACCATAAGAATACATAAGATGGGGCACATTGGGACAGTTGACGCGCTTTCCTGTGAAATATCAGCATACAAACCGCCTTGCGGTCTGGAAGCCTAAATAGGCCAGTTATCTACAAGATGAGACAGTTTTTGGATTTTTTTGAGGCGGTACACTGAGCACCCCGGGATAAAATG